AGCTCTCCCAGGCCTTCCTTTGATCAAGACTATAATTTAATTACCTGCATACCAAAGAGAGCCTTTATTTGGAGTTTCAGTCTCAGTTGTGTCTTTTTTGTTTTCTTCACCGTGGCACGCCGGATTCAAAGTGAAGCTTGAAAAGTGGGGAAACGAACGGTTTTGTTCTTTAAAAGCTGGATAGATGTAAATCATAATGTAATCAGCTCAGTACAAAACTGATGTACTTACAGTAAATATACTCCGATAGAGGAGCTCTTTCTTCATGCTGTTTTTTTAACCTAAAGTTCTGCACAATAACTAAAGTCATTTGATCATATTATTATTATTTGCTGCTAATTTACAGAATTTGCAAGTATTTAGTAAAATGTGCATATCTTTCCTACTTAAAATGTGGTCCCTCTCAAGAATAACACAGTAATTACCTTTTTAAATCGTGCTTTGTATTCTCAAAGTTGCCTCATTTTGGTGTTAGTGTTTGGCACTGATAAAGTTCCTGTACTGTTTGTATATTTATTCTTGCCATTTTGTATTACATTACAGCTTAAAAACGGTTGTTAATAAGCACACAGTCCAATTCAATTGATCTTCTTTGTGAAAGCTGATGAGTATTTCATTTTTAAATGACACAAAGCAGGATTTTCACATCCTTCTCTTCTGTGTTTCCATAGTGGTCAGTGAATAGAAATAAACGGAGCTAAACATGTAAAATAATGTTTTTTTTTAACTCTTCTAGATTAATATATATATATATATATATTTGAGGCCTTGTAAGCACAGTATCCATTACATGAACTGAAATATGATGTCACTGGGTGGGTTACTACCAGTACCAACTACTAAACTTAAATTGTCAATTCAGCCAGTGGGAGTTTGAGACCTTCACGAGTCCTCTCTCCTTATGTCTCCACCCTAGGAAGCCAGGAGAGGAGGAAAGGAATCAAGGAGGTACAGAATGAAAAATATGACGCAGGATGCAGCCACCTCCTGAGCCCGGGTCTGCTGGAGGTCTTTTGCTGTTAAAAGAGTGTTCGTCCTCCTCATAGGTGATCCTCTGTTACTTCAAGAGTCTCTCTAACTTTGTGGGGTCGTACCTGTTTCTGTGAATGGTTTATACACCATATATAGCAACTTTATACCTGGTATCTATAGTGGGAAAATGTTGTAACCAGGAGAAAAACGCTCCTTTCCTTGAACTACATTACCTGTGACAAGTGTTGGAACTCTAAACATGTGCAGCAAATCTTCCTTGACCTTTGACCCCTCTATAAAGCAACCCCATTGGGAATAATCTGGCTTCCTGTCTGCTGTCTCTGGCGGAGCATCAGCCACTGCTGGCTGTTAATTTCAATTAGCTCAAATCAAACACTTCTCTTCCGCTCATCGTCTCTCTATGACCCGACCAATTTCCTGCTTTCTCTCCTCTGCTTCTCAGTGGCGACGGCGAGCACAGAGCATCCCATCTCGCTCCTCGCAGGAAGGAATTCTCTACGTTTCCACTGGGAATGTGACGGATTGAGAGTGTGTGCGCTTGTGTGTCAGCCCCCTTGGCATGTCTCGCTTCTTGTCAGAGACTGAATAATACACAAGCTGTGTGATTCAGTAGTAACAAATGGGCTGATTATCAGCTGCACAATGCTTTAATGTAGTACATTCCACTCGTATCATTCAAAATACGACATGAATTTACTCGCAGTGGCTTGGTCACACTCCAAAACCATCACCGGTGTTCCAACATTGCATTTAGCGTGACTCCTCTATTTTCATTCGCAGTGTCTTTGTGTTTGGTGTATTGATCCAGTATCACTGCTGTCTACTCGCTATTAATAGTCTGGTATTGATTGTGGGATTTATTCATGTGTTATTCATTCAATGTGGCTGAGAGGCTTTGTGATGGGTGTGTTTTAGAGGACACCTTTGTGGTGTCTCTTAAGGTCACCTGGATACAACTGTAGAAAAATGATGTTTTTTAGTTAAATAACAGTGTCTGTTATCACTGGAACTATTCGTTTCCTTTCTCCACTGCACATTTGGCTTTGTAATAGATTGTTCATTGGAGTGTTTGCAAATCTTTTATAAATCAAACTGTGTTGTTGCACCGCTAAAATGATGTTCAAAGTACTTTTTAAATTTGAGAAGAAAGGAAAGTGCTGAATTCTTGAAATCTTCCAGTGTTAAAAATACTCAAAAGGAAACAAAGTAGAAAAGTTGAAATTCGAACATCCACTCTGATCAAATCTCTGTTTGACTTGATTATTGTGTTTGACTGAACTCTTACCTTGAATCTGGGAGCATGTTGGGTGACAGCTGATGTGATGGTCACCTTTCACACAGGACGCACGCAAATCCTTTAAAATGTTCTGCATGTCTTTCTGAGCATTGTTCAAATTTTGATGGTTCGAAGGCTTAAACATTCCCATCTTGGCTTCGTTCATGTTTTAAAAAGGATTCTATACAAATAGGATAAAACCCAACAACTAATTGAAAAAACAAAACAAAACAAACCTCAGAGCTGCAGATATTTTGTTGAATTCCAGGCCACACATTGAGAATAATGGAGGTGTAACATTATCTATCCATGGGTAGGATCCACAGGCTGAGGGTAGTTTATTGTATGCCTTGCCTGAACCTCACAATCAATATTTAATAACAGACTAGGTGGACTGCTGCAGTGATGAAAAGGATAAGACGCCATAATGTGCCAGAGAGCACATAATATACAGCTATGTGAATATTTGTGATATGTAGTTCTAAAAAAGAAGAAATCTGAGCTTTGTTTGTCGGAGCTTTGGTTTAAAGAGCCACTGATGTGAGGGGATCTGCAGTTTGTCTGAGTTATTAGACCCATTTTAAAAATATGCATTTACGCGTTTAAAAGGAGCGAGTGTTTTCCAGATCTTCCCATTTCTGAAGACTTCAGTTATTGTCATTCCTCTGAGGTAACCTTTGATGATCGCAGCAGAAGTACCACTTTTGTTGTTGTTGTTGCAATTCAAGCACATGTCAAAAACCCCTGATTGATATCTGTGAGTGAAAGGTGAAAACTTTGACCTTTGACTTCTCTTTCCTCTCTACTGGGGATGCAGTTGTGACGGTGAGACAGTACGGGAGTGGATTGGACAAAGAGTGGACATACAGTGGACAGGGCTCGCCCAGGACAGCGGACAGCACAGGAAGGAGGACTGCGTAGGCCGATCCCTGATGAGGGAACGTTCACAGTTAGCCTTTCCCCGATCAGAGCCAACCTTCTTACTCAAGGCCAATTCAGGGTTTATCTCAAAAGTTGGTAAAAGTATCAAATGTCACAGTCCTCAGTGGGACTAAAGTTAGTAAAAGATGGCTTCTGAATGCAAATAATTTAGCAATATACAGGATAATTCAACATTTAGGGAAATGCACTCATCTGCTTTCTTGGCATGAACTAAATGAGGTGACATTAGTACAAAAGAGGCTATAACTAGCAGCTAAGTTAGCTTAAGGAATGGTAACAGCTGCGCCTATATGTGAAATAAAAGCCACTCATCGATGTTTATAAAACTCACTAACACACTTAATCTTTAATCTGTGCAAAAAGCAATGTGTAAAAGAACAAATGGCTATAAATAGGGAGCTATAAGCTAGCCAAGTGTAGGAACTTTATTTCAGTTGCTGTTTAATGTTTATTTGAATAAAGACAGTTAAATCCTGTCTACACTGGAGGAGATAACAAAATCCTCATTGACAATTCTGCTCACAAAAAACTCCAGTTGCAGTTTCTAACCTATAATCCAACCTATACTTAAAGCATTTTAACACAATTCCACCAAGCGCCTCAGCTAGCTTTCTAACGGCTAACTAAACAAAGACTAAAGTAATCATGTAAAATTTGAACCTAGCTAAAGGTGTTTTGTTGTGGTGCCAACTGTTTTACCCTACTTTGGCCATTTGCAACTGCAGGTATCGCCCAACATCTGGCCATTAGGTGGAACTCAAGTGTAAAGCAACTTTTGCGTTGGCGTCACTTTCATCTTTTATACTATCTATGACTCCAAATAGACGGAAACCCTGACCACACATAATCCTAAGTCTTCTACAGTGATGGCAATCATTTAAATCCATGTAACACCACACCAATCCAAATCTGCCATTGCAGCTAACTAGCTCACATTAATGTTGCCATTATTCCTTCAGTTGGGTAACCAGTCTGTCATCTACCACTGAGAAGTGTATAACAGGGTGATGGCCAAAGCTCACCTGGCACACAACATTCAATGACCTGAAGCAAACAAGCACTGCCTGTCAAGATGTGGAAGGACTTGTTGCCAGTTGAAAAAGGTGGTGCTAACCACTAGGAACTTGTAGTCTTACTTGTGCACATAAAACAGAGTAATAGTATGTACTCAGTTTAAGAAAAACTTTTTATGGTTTCCACCTGACACTGGGAAAAGAAAACAACCTAAAGGTCACCAAGTCCCTGCAACTCCAAGGATCTAGAGATATATATTTCTCAAAGACCTAAAGGAGAGCAGGCCTAACCTTTCACCAAGAGAGCGCACGAGTGTATTTTCCCCCAAAATGTCAAACCATTCTTTCAAGCTAAGGGATTTCTAGACCCAACTAACAAGCTTTTAGTTGTTCCTGGTCAAATTTGGATTTGCAGGATCCCGCGTTGCCATTTTTTGGGTTGGGGAACACTTGTTGACTGTCGCGCGACGACTTGGGCTACACAGTAATATACATACAAACACCTCGATGTATATTTACTATGTGTCGTGAGAACAGCATAGTGAGTTGTCATTGCGGATGAAGTCAACTTTACTATGTGATAAAAACAAAACAATAACCAAAATAAATAAATAAACACGAACATGAGAGGGGAAAGGTAGAATGAGAGGGAGAAAGAGAGACTATGACGAAGAAGAGAAAGAGAGAGAAAACGAGCGAATGGCAGGGAGAGAGGTTGTGAAACAGTACAACATCAGACAGCCACTGGAACATAACAACACAGAGAGAGACAAGTATTAGGAAAAATGGTTTAATATAGGAGACAGAAGCAAAAAACTGCATCACACAAGAACATACGTTTACAAAAATAATTCTGACTGCTTCAGCTACACAGTTAGTTCACAGAGAAGGACAGAGAAACCGGAAAAATCTAAACAGCTAAAAGCAAAAATCTTCTAATTAGTTGATCTCTTTATTAAACTAATACATTAATCCACTGAAGGTGACTAAATATTTCTATTCCTTCTTTTTCTATAATTGTCTTATCGTGTAGACGGCACAATACAGAAGTCAAATGAAACTTACCGCTGTTGTATAGACAAACTTGCTAAGAACTATTTATAAAGCAAAAAATGAAAGATCTGACACTCACCTACGCTCTGTTTTTCGGACAAAAAGGGAAAAAAAAGTAAGAAAGAAAGGTAGAAAGAAAGAACAACACTCGAGTGAGGAAAAAGAAGTGAAAGAAATAAAGCCAAAGATCTCCTAGAAAATCTTATATCAAAAGCCAACTTTCTCGATGCCAGCTAGAAATCATACTCGGGGACCAGTCAGGGTCAGGCCACACCACCAGGCCAGACAGCGTTTTTTTGTTTTTTTTTCTAAGATTTTTTTTGTTGTATCCTTTAATCTCCAGTATAAAAAATTCCACTGGTACAAAATGCATAAGTACAATCAGTTGTAGAAATAGGAAAGCCTGCATTTTTTGTACTTTTTAAATCCCATCCAGTGACAGATTTTCGAAGAGTTGTCAAACAAACATACATCACGCTTACAGAATCCACTGAAATGCATTGACTTTGGCTTCTCTCGTGACAATAACTTTGAAAACTACTTGAAAACCTTTTTGAGAATTAAAAAGAAACAAATCAACAACAGCAAACAGCAACAACAACCCCCCCAAAAAAGAAAAGAAAATCAGATTATCTCTACAGACAACAAGCTCTTTTTTTACGCCACAGGAAGAGAGAACACACAAAACATTTTTCCTCAAAAAACTTGACATAAGCCATAATGCAAAAAAACGACAAGTTCAATTTTTTTTTCCTTTCAGATTTCATTGTTTGATAAATAGCACTTAAGATAATTAAGAAAGAAGGAGAACAGAGAAGTGAACAGTGACAAGATAGAAAGATTACAACGAGCATCGGCGATGACAGCCCCTGAGGCGAGCCGCTCGACAGAAACTCCGTTTCTACGGCCCTGTTGTGCTTCGACATGGACAAAAAGACGAGATGCTTCACACTGAGACTGTGCGACGTGGGGCTTCTGTGCAAGTCGGTGAGATTTGGCAATTTGTCTTTGCTTTTTTGGGACGCTCAGAATGTGGAAACGACAGCGCTGGAACGAGCTGAAAAAAGGCGCGACTACACGAAACCTGGTCCATCGACGCTGATCTGGGGACTGTCCGGCTTTCGTACAGGTAGCTATGGCTGTTTGTGGCACGCCTCGTGTGTGTGTGTGTGTGTGTACTGCATTTAGGAAAAAAAGAAGTCTGCTCGCCTCCTTTCGTAAAATCGCATAAAGTTTGGCATCGCGTTTGGTCTCGGAGAGCGGATAATGAAAGCTGTATTGCCTTCATCTCGGCTCTGGCTGTTGTTTCCGCCTGCGCGCGGGACCCCTGGACGTGACCCTTCCCTTTCCAACCAACAAGCGCTTTATTTCCCCCGTCGCTATTCCAATAAGACGTCTCTCCACTAGCCCTGTTTCTAATAACCCCGGTTAGCCTGGGAGACAACAACCAGACGGAGAGGGGCATCCTTCAAACAGATGCCTCCATCTCTCTCGTTCTCTCTGAATCGCCTTCAACTGCTGCGAGGAGCCATTTCAGCCTTCCCGCTGTGGCCGATCGGACGAAATGGCAGAAGAGTGAAAACCCAGACGAGTGAGAGGTTAACGGCACACGAAAGTGAACCTAGACTTGGCACACATCACTGACTGACAACATCTCCTGTAATACTGGTACAACGCTCCCTGGTTAAGGCGACTGGTGAGCTTCTGTAGAAAATAATGCTGCCATCTTTAGGTTTTTTTTGTGTTTTTTAAATTTTTTGTAGGTTTTTTTTTTTGCAGACCGTAAACTAGGCTTTCAGGGAGGGGGGACGGGGGGCAGTTGAATAGACTGACAACACTGTGCCATGTAAACGGCTCGACTATGATGAATGTCAATAACACACTTTGGCATCTAATAATGATTTTGGCCCGTTTACACCACAAGACTCGCACATGGAGAAGTCTCATGACCGCTTATATAAAAAAGAAGAGGAGGAAACGTCAGAAGGATCAAGTTCGGCGACGGGGAAATCAAATGGGCTCAAAACTTGCTCCGGACCCGTCCCGCCTCACTCCTCTGACCAGCCGACACCGGCGTGTGCTTTTTCCTCAAAAGATCGAGGCTCGTTTGCGAACGAGCGAGTCTTGCCCTGTGCTTACATCATGAAAGCGAGCACGCTCGTCTGAGGTGATACACAAAAAGTAATGATCCTCGCCGTCTGAGACAAACGGCGCAAACTCTGAGGCGTTCTGAACTCAACAAAAGGGATAAGAGGGTTCTTGAGAAATAAGGCTTTGTGTATGACTCTCACCTCCATTTTTATTTATTTACTTATCATTTTTGGGGGGGAGCTGAGGAGCGGGACGGAGCGCGGGAAAACAATCAAAACAATCCACGCTGAAGCCTGACGTCTGTGTTTGTGTGTGTGTGCGAGATACTGATAGAGAGAGATAGAACAGGAGTGCAAAGATTTGTGGTAAGGCTTTGATGAGTAAAACTGCTGTACAATGGCTAAAAATATCAGTGCGTGACTCGTGTGTGTGTTTTTAAAGTGTGTGTGTGTGTGTTTGTGCACGCTGGCGGGCGGTAGCGGTTGCTGTAGAGGCTTTCACACTCAGGGGCTCTCATGCACAATAACAAAGTAAACTGTGAGGTCTGCACGAGAGTGTGTGTGCGCATGTCCGTGTGTGTATGAATGTTTGTGTGTGTATAGATATATATATGACACATGGGCACTTTTTTTCTTTTTTTGTTTTTTTTTTGTTACATCTTTACAAAGAAAAAAGCAAACATGACATTTTCAGGCAACAAGACCACAGAATAGCAAGTTAACAAACTTTTTTTTTAAATCTATATTTTTAAATATGAGGGATCCATACAAAACACTTATAATAAAATACCCATGTTATCAAATAATTTCACAAGAAATACACTGACGCGCTAGGCAGGAAGTACCTTTCAGAATTTGGCACTGAACTCCACTGATTTTGTCTTTTTTTCCTTTATAAGACATTTTGCTGAACAACAAAAACACATCTAAATATTGTTTCCCACGAGAGAAATAAAATAATAATGACATTGATGCTTCACAAGCTGACATTTTATATATATATATATATATATAGATATATTTATATTTATATATATTTTTAGGAATTTCATATAGGTAATTAACCAACAGGAAATTTAGCAAATAGGGACTCCTTAAAAAAAAGAAGAAGAAAATTATAATAAAAAACAAAGTAACTGTTATAGTAATATGAAAGGCTTTGTCTATTGTTCAAGTAAACTGATTTTTTTTTAGTCTTCTCTTGAAAAACATGAGACATTTAAGACCGTTAGACTTGTGATGAAACCACAACTAAACTCACGAGAAGCACCGACGTTAACGCGGGTTACAGGTATCGTAGTATTTTTTTTCCTCTATACATTTAAACAGTAGAAAATATAGGTCATTTCATCATGTGCATTTAAACCACGGATTGTCTATCTGTGAGTCAGTTCAGCAAAAGGTGACACAAGTAGGTAGCATTTCTCCCCCCCAAACAGGGCAAATGTCGTTTTTTTATTTTTACCTTTAAACTACTCTAGAAAAAAGTGGTTCTATATATAGACTTTGAATGAGAAACAGAGCCACTTAAAATGGCCTTATCAAAAAACTTTACACTGCCTGAAAAATGTAAAAACCATTAGAGAGCTCTGAGAGAGTCTAATATTGATCAGACAGTTTTTATTCAAAACTGTTTGGAAGTAGTCTTATTTCTCAGAGAAACTGACGCCGACTGCTTCTGGCCCGCGCTCTTGTGGCTTTTTTTGTGTGTGTTTTTTGTGTGTTTTTTTTTTCTCCTCTCCATCGGCACCAGAAGCAAGAAGACGCGCCAATTCCTGTTGTGAACTTTCAAGTTTACTTTAAATGAAGAAGGAAGGAAAAGGAACTGACATAATAATAACAACAATAAAGAAGAAAAGAAGAAGAAACAAAAGAAAAAGACACTGTATGGAAATCACTTTGCCACAGGTTGTTGTTTTTTCTCAAAAAGAAAAAAAGGAACATTTTTTATCCATAAAAATCTCAGTCTTTTTTTTTTGTTGTTTTTCATACGAATGCAGCTTTTTTTTAATGTTGTTGTTCACATTGATTCATTTACCCACACCTCCCTTATCGCCTCCCTCCCTCCCTGAAACCCTCCCGGAAAACAGATCCAAATGAGGTCACATGCAAAAAAACAAAAAACAACAACCAAAAACCAAAAACAAAACAACAAAAAAACATAAAAAGACCAAAAAGCAAACAAAAAAAAAGTCCAAAAAAGCTAAAAGTTCAAAAAAGGTCAGTAGACGGCGGTGGCGGAGGAGGAGGAGAACCAGGTTATGATCAGGTGAGCTCGGAAAAGACATCAGAAAAAACAATGACGGGGGAGGAGGAGGAGGACGATGGCACTTTTTTTTTGGTGGGTATTTTTTGTTTGTTTGTTTTTGTTTAAAGTTTTGTGTTTTTTTCGACACCACGGAGACATGCTAGGCAAACGATGAGCTAACAGGCATGGAGATGGGTTGTTCTAAAAGGGGGAAAGAAAAAACGGGAGAGGAGAGAGTTACACACAGAGAGCCAGAGCACCACACCACTACAGCATTTCTTTTTTTATGTAAAAAAATAAAATAAAATGAAAAATAATTAAATAAAGGAGAAACAACAACAACAACAACAACAAACAGCAAACAACAACAAACGAACAACAATGCAAAACAGCAGAACAGCAACACCACTCACTGATTTCATCTGCAAATATTTTAGCTTTAAATCCGTTTTTTCTTGGGTTTTTTTAGTAATATAAAATGATATTGATGTTTCAAATCTATATACTAACAAGCAACAACACACGTTCACTCATTCGTACGTACGAGCACACACAAAAAACAACAAGAAATAAACAAAGGAGCACCCAAAGCGCTATCCATCAGATCCCGGATGGATGTTCATTTGGGAGAATTTATTTTTTTTTAAGATGGGGAACGGGTGGGGAGGTTCTTTTAACTCGTTCCTTTCTGCTTTCAGATCTTTGTAAAAGTCGGCAGGTAAAGGAGGGGCTACGAACAAACAAAAAAACACTCAAAACAAACAAAAAAAACCACTCAAAACAAACAAAAAAATTATGAAATTAAAAAAAAAAAAAAAAACGCAAGGAAAAAGGTTGAAATTCGACAAGTGAAAGAAGTAGTCCCACTATGGATGGAGAGAGGGAGAGAGTGGTAATAAGAGAGAGAGATGGATGGATAGATGGGTGGGTGAACAGCCCAGAGAGGAGTGTGGTGGTGGTGGTGCTGGTGGGAGGGGCGTCGAATGGCGGCGAAATGTTTTGGTGACTGTGGTTTTCTGCACTAAAAAAAAAACACCAAAAAAACACCAGAGAACCCAATTCCACGAGACTTCTCCACAAGGGTCTACTTTATAATGATGCTGTATACTTTATAGGAGTCCAATAACTTAACGATAGGCAATAAATAAAATCCTTTTTCTTTTAAATCTGAGGCAGTAAAAATGCTGTATAAAAATAGAACTGCTTTTTTTACAAATAAAATTTACAGGCCTGTGGCTTTCTGTACTTTGAATTATTTTTTTTTAATCTTTCAAACAAACATCAAGTATTTTCAGTTTACCCCCTTAACCCATAAACTCTTTTATTATTATTAGTAGTAATAGCATTGTCATAGCCTTCATCAAATTCTGGATGTTATTTTGAAAATGCTCTACATGCTGTAATATCTCTTTCACAACAAAGACCAATGTGATCTGACCCAGAAATGTGTTTACTAATTATTCATTTTTACCTTTGAGAAATAAAAAAATTCTTCTTTTTTTAAATTTTCACATAAATAAAAGCTGGAGTATGCGTGTTTGTTTTCCTTCCTGCGGCGGTAGACTGTAACTGTACGGCAGGTTGATGTTACCACTGACTATACTGTAAAAGAGGCCACTAAAAGTTTTGCAGCCTTTGCTCCCGGGTTGCCAGCAGGCGTAGAGGGGTTTTTGGAGAAGCAGCGGCGGCCTGCAACCAACACCGCGGAGGTCAAAGGTCGAATGTGCATATCGGCGTGCGCGTCAAAATTTTTTTTTTAAAAAGTAGTAAAAAAAAAAAAAAAAAAAAAAGTAATAATGAACCATTCACCAGGCCTCAGGTTCATAATGAGAGAGAGGAAATAAAAAAATCTTCATGGCTCCTTTGTCTTTACGTCTGTCCTGAAAAAAGTATAAATAATCACCGAGAAAAGTTTTAAATACCTGCGAAGCAAAAAATCAGAAAAAAAAAGCTACTTTCTTCCATTATTATTAAAAAAAAAGAAAGAAAAAATTGCACAAAGTAATGGTGGTAATGGAAGCGTTCATGTGTGTCAAAAAAAACTGTAATAAATAATAATACTTGAACATAAGAGTCTCCAAAAAAGCAAGAAAAAAAAAGAAGGAAAAAAAAAAGAAAGAAAACAAGGCGTGTGTCTCCCTCAGGGTGGTTGTAGGTCGTCTCCCCCTCCCTCCCACATCCCCTCCCTTGAACCCTCACCCCCGAGTCCCTGTGTAGAGAGGTCGTGGCTCGGTTTGCTGTTTTTTTTTTTTTCATTTTCATCATTTTTGTTGTTTTTTTTCTGTGGGGGGACTTACCCTAGCAGTGCTAACATGGGGAGCAGATAGACCCTAGTGCTAAGATCAGTACGGTTTGCTGTCGTTCTTGGAGCGCTTCAGCTGCACCTTCAGCCGCTTCATGCCAATCTGGAAGCCGTTCATGGCCTGGATGGCTGCCTGTGCCGACACTGGATTGTCGTAGCTGACGAAGCCTGTGAGGGGGCGCAAGAGAAAAGTGGACGGTTAGAGGAAAAGTTAGAAGAAGGTCAGTTGTGAAGAAACTGTATTAAAATAACAACAAGAAGGCTTTTAAAACATTATTGAGTCAGACTTTCAGGCAGCCTAACATTGGCCTACTTCATCCCCAACCGGCCATGGCAGAAGGCTGCCCCTCCCTGAACCTGGTTGTGTGCTCTGTTTCTTCCTGTTAAAAGGGAGTTTTTCCTTCCCATTGTCACCAACTCTTTGTTTAAAAGTAGTCATCTGATTGTTGGGGTTTCTACCTAATGTTGTAGGGTCTTTTCCTTACAGTGTCAGTTGCCTTGAGGCAACTGTTGCTGTGATCTTACCTGCATAAATCCTACATCGCCTTGTTCTCAAGTTATCACATTCGATTTTCAGAAAACTTGCTTTGACCTTGAGATCGATGTCACTGATTTTAACTTGTGTGAGATTTTTACTAGATGCATCTATGGTATCAATTTAAAGCTACAGTGTCGCCTTGTTCTCGAGTTCTTGCATGACAAAAATACTTCACAAGGCATCCTTACCTTGTTTCTGGGTCTTTGATATGTTTAAAAACACTCCTGGTACACAATAAGACAAGATTAAACTGTAATGATGGCCTAAGTGATGTTCGTTCGTTGCATCAACAAAATAATAAGAGACTACAGCAACAAACAAACAAACAGATTGTAGGTAGCATTAAAGCACAGATTTACTTTGGCAAAGGCTACTTTTGATTAAAAAAGTAAAATTAAAGGTTTTGGTGCGGACTGTGGTATATACTAAGATTTATTTTTCTATCTTCTCCGCAAAAAGTCATTTTTGTTTACGCTAACGCTTCCCTTCCCCCTGTAATATCTGCAACCTCTGAAGCTGACAGTAAACTCCTCGTCTCGCTTGTCTCACATCCATCCCCGCAAACCATTTTCTGACAAGTACCAGACGGTAGTTTTTTCCTGGATCCATGCTTGATTTAGTTCTGTTTTCCTTAGTTGCTGCTTGTGGATTGGATATGTGTAATATTTAGGTTTTGATTTCCATACAAATGCAAATCTACACGGTATTTGCCCTGGATTTACTCTAGTATTAAAAAAAAACACACACACACAAAAACATACCAGTAAGGAAAACGTAAATCCAGATGGAAAGGAGGCACTGAATTCTTCTTTGTCAAGCTTTTCATGCAATTCCCTAACAGTTCCTTCTAAAGTTCCCTGGAAATAACTGTGTAAATATGAATTACTTATAGAAGATAGACACAATGGTTTGAGACGGCAACTCAAATTTAGTTTGCACTTCGTTTACAGAGCTATTAAAGTATTACTAAGACTCATTCAAATCCAGGTAAATTCAGGTATTAGTGGAATGGCTCTTGTCTTGAATTGTCAGCAGTGTATGTTGGCGATTCATCTGCGTTACGTCAGGACTTATAATAATAAGTACCAAATGAATAACTTCCAGGAACTTTCTGAAGAACCTTGCCATGAATGTTTCTCTTTTCTATGGTACTTGAAGCAAAGCACCACAAAAATAAAGGCTGATCCAATAAAAAAATAATGTTCTTGGTAATAGCTCAGACATGTTCTGGAAACTGGCCATCGGAGGACAACCTCCCAGTGGAAAACTTGATCATTTTCAGCTTTATGAGCCGATTATGAGAGCCGGAAATCATCACTATTTTTAGCAGAAGTGTCTCCTGCCACATTTGTGTCATGTGGGAAGGATGGTAGAGTTGGGTAAAACTTTATAAATTGTCTATTTTTGATAAGCGCGAGGCTTCCTAATTGTTTGCTCTTTCAGGTACGTTGCTCAGCCAGATAAGATCTTATAGAAATCATTGCTCTGTAATTATTGCTTAAATATTGAAGTTACAGCTATTCAAAGTCTAACAAAACATTAGATGTGAGTGCAACAGTCATGTTGTACACTGACAGACTGTACATAAAAGATGGATGTAGCCACCAACGTAGCTACAGACCAGCTCATTGTACCTTGTTTTAAAGCCTTGAAGTGGGCAATCTATTCATTGCTTTCTTTATGCTTACAAACTAAAATGTGATCCAATTCCAAGGTAGCCTTGCTCTGTGGCTTATTGTGGTTTTTTCTGGCCTTTTTTAACCCTAAACGCGACCATCATTTAGAAAATGAGCATCATGTTGTATTAAGTAAGAAATCTGTCCCTTCTGATATCAGAAGAAATGCAGATAAGGCACTTTGATACAACGTCCATCTTTTATGCACAGTCAGAACTTGCCGTCCTTCAGATTTGTTCCCTTCAACAACAACCCAGCCCCTGATTTATGACACAGTCAAGAAAAAGAAATAATTCCAGGCATTTGTGTGCGTTTTGGTTTTTGCTGCCGTACCGAAGCACTTGCTAAGGTTTGTCTGTTTGTCGATGAAGACTTTGGCAGAGACCACATTTCCGAAAGGCATGAACATCTGCAGTATGTCCTGGTCTCCAAACTCCTGGGGCAGGTGGTAGATGAACAGGTTGGCACCTTCAGGACCTGAGGTGGAGGAGGGGTGGGGGATATGCAGAGCAGATATGAGGTCAGTATAGTTTTTCCATTTAAGCAAACCTGCAGCAGAGGGAGCGCTGCACTGTGGCTGTCGTCATAGGAACTCGGCACAAGCACGCCGCTTCCCACAATGTCCCATGACCTTGGGTTTGTTATTGAATTTAAACAGCATTCTGCAATTGTATTGAAAATCCAACAAAGATGAAAGCTTTTGGTTTTCAGCTAATAATTATATTTTGGTTTGCTGCAAACAAAAGTAGTTCCCTATTCTTTTACTTTTGATTTATTCATTCTCTCAGCCGCATGTAGTCTCTCTTAAGAGGGGTCATAGGGTGCCCTCCTACCCAGCCTCTATCGCACATTCTAATAATTCTAATAGGTCAGATCTCTCAGAATCATTTAATATGCTCTCCACAGCTAAATGAAGCAGCGAGGGAGCCCAGTGTTTGGCACATCTTTGTTCTCCCTGAGGGGTTTTGAACTCCTGGATGGACTGTCAAAGAAAGACAGCTTCTTTACAAATTTATCTTCGCTGCAAGCCGAGATGAGAAGTGCACAAACAAACAGTATGTGGCTCTATTTGTTTTACTAGACATTTCATCATCTGGTTTGTATTCAGCGCTGTCGTCTAAAGCTTTTGGGTAAATTTAACTTCAGCTGCCAGGTTCTGTACGTCGGCGGCACTTTGCAGAAGCGCTGATGTGCAGACTGACCAGTTTTCACATTTTCTCTCTCAGACGTTGTAATAAAAGTATTGATCAGAATCCAAGAGAGGTCTGATTAAACACTCCTTTTTTTTTTGCTACAAAAACAATGTGAAATGAGTTATTATAAGTGAAATAAAGGACATAAAAATTGGTTTGGTCCAGTTGTAAAACAAGGAATTTGGTTTTAAGAGATGAGGATGAACTTTTTTATGAACTGAAACGTTGTTTAGTTTTAATTTTTTTTTAACTCTTTGCCCACGTTAGGACAACATTTGACTATTTTGCAATTATGAGTTTCAAACGTCAGAATATACACTAAGTTGCCAAAGGTATTCAGTCACTCATCCAAATGACTGAATTCAGGTGTTCCACTCCCCTCCCTGGCCACAGGTGCATAAAATCAAGCAACTAGGCGTCCAAACGGCTTCTACAAACACCTGTGAAAGAATTGGTCGCTCTCAGGAGCTCAGCATGGTACCGTGATAGGATGACACCTATGCAACAAGTCAAACAAAGTGGAAGTGATTGGTAATGATAGCAACTCAGCCATGAAGTGCTAGACCATGTAAAATAACAGAGTGGGGTCAGCAGATGATGAGGCAGATGGTGCACAGAGGTCGCCAACTTTCCGCAGAGTCAGTCGCTACAGAGCTCTAAACCTCATGTGGTCTTCAGATCAGCTCAAGAACGGTGCTTACAGAGCTTCATTGAATGGGTTTCCAAGGCCGAGCAGCTGCATCCAAGCCTGAGATCACACCTCTCTGTCTAACAATATGATGGATGACTCTAAGTTTGGTGGTTACCAGGGGAACGGTACTTGTCTGGGGGCGATTATGGCGTGGGGTTGCTTTTAAGGAGTTGAGCCTCTCAGTTCCAGTGAAATGAACTCTTAATGCTTCAGCATACCAAGACATTTTGGGACAATTTCATGTCCCATCTTTGTATGAACAGTTTGGGTTGACCAACATGACCAGTGCACAAAAGCGAGGTCTACGAATACATGGATGAGCAAGGAGGTGTGGAAGAACTTGACTGCCTTGCACAAAGTCCTGACCTCAACCCGACACAGCTCACAAATGTGCTTGTTGAAGAATGGTCAGAAATTCTCACAAACACTCCCAAACATTGCGGAAAGCCTTCCCAGAAAAGCTGGAGCTGAGAATGAGATGTGAAGGCAGACAAGCGAATACGTTTGGCAACATAGTGTATCAAGAAAGTCGTGGTTTGACGACGATGAGAATAGTTTCCAGATTTCTCCACTAACATCTGATGCAAACCCTGCCACTTTGTTCTATCAGCAGGCGTGAACTATGACAGAAACCTTTCAGTTCAGAAAAGAGCTTCAAGGGCCACAACTAGTAGACTTTCAAGGGGTAAAGAGTTAAAAGGCATCCTGTCTTTAAGGCCAATTTTTTATGTTTTTAGCACAGATTTTTATTACTTGATAAAAACTAACATTTTATCAGGACATTACACCACAACACTATAACTTTATAGAGTCTACTCATGATTTCAGCGCTGAGTTTAAATGCCCGTTTGCTTTTTTGAAGAGCAAATCCTGGAGGAGACGCACGTTTAGGGGAAAAAAGTTGCTGTTGTAAACACTCTCAAATCTAACTCCCACTGAGCAGCACTGATGTGCAGACATACAGCCTTAGGCTACTGACCCTCTTTCTGGCTGCCGGCAGCCCCTTGCTGCTGCAGCAGGGACTGGCTGTAGAGGGTGGGCAGCGCTGCGGCGGCGTACTGCTGGATCCCTGAGTAAGCCTGCGTCAGCGCGTCCATGGTGCCTGCCGTCCCGTTGGTGAGCCCTGCGCCGCCCAGGCCTCCGTTTAGAGCCGCCATACCTGAGAGCATTTGAGCAACTTTACATAAAACCCAACAATAAAGAAAGAAGAGTGCACTTACTCATTAGCGCTCCCACTGAAGGTTGTGTTTTTTAACCACACATACACACACACACACTAACACACCCACAAGAACATACAGGACACGAGACACACAACACACAAACACCGACAGCTACGCCGGACGATACTGTAAATTGCACTCACATCGACACGCACACACACACACACACGCACAAACAAACAGAGGACCAACCGTGTGACGAGAAAACACAAAGGACGAACACATACAAGCACAGGACACACACAGAGGATTCATTTAAACACGTTAAAGTATGAAGGAAGCTGATGACAGCCAGAGCTGCACGGGTATCTCGGAGTAAAAAGCATGCAGCGCTGCATGCGCACACACAGAAACACACTCGGAGACCACAGCAGCGTCGACGGAACGACAAAAATAAATAAATAAAATAAAAAGAAGATGAAAAATTATCTTTCGCTTCATTCAAAGTGGCGTTGTTAAACAAATACTGGGGTGCGATCATGTGTGCCTTTCCTGCCCGTGACGGCTCTCTTTAGGGGTGAAGACAGGCACGCGGCGCGTAAAGGGTAGGCGGGGAGGGGAGGGGAGCGTGGCGATTTTAAAAAGTGAAGGAACACAGCAGTAACACTCATTAGCTGCATGTAACGGCTTAATATCACAACGGAGGGCAACTTGTCAGAGGGGGTCTGACACTGGCTCGGCGTCCTGTCGCCTCGCCGTCAGACACAGTGAAATAAATTATCACCGCGGCGCTCTGGATTATAGGTCACTCATTTATTCAGGAATAATTGCACCAGTGACCTTTGCAATTCAATTAAGGCCTAGATGTGTTTAAATGAGGGCGGTTGTTGGTGGTGGGTGGGTGAGTGGGAGGAAGGATGCGCTAAGAGGAGAGAAGGGTTAGTGAGGACAAAATGGGATGCAAAATGAAAGCGACCCATTCGGCTCAGAAGGACGAGCACGTGTGTGTGTGTGTGTTTAGACATGTTCTGTGTTTTTGTACCTGCGTGCGCTCGAGTAGACGCATATATAATTTACACAGCGGACACAGCTAGTCGAACCGAAGAGCGGTAAAGGTCAGGGGAGAATAATGTGGTGGAAGAGGCTGGTTGTACAGGATCTCTGCTGTCATAACAGCTCTGATTAAGATCCCAGCCCCGTCTCCCCGGAGGTCAAAGGCAGGACGCGCACCACACGGCTCGGCAGATGCCAGAACGCCACACAGGGCGGCCGTGCGGTCGATACGATCCACATGTGGAAAGAAACATGTGTGTGACTCGCTTAAACTTAAAATGGATTAATGAACCACCCAGCTGTGTTAATGCTTTGACAGCAAATTAGACTATTTTTTTTTTACTTCGAAGAAAGAAAAAAAAAAAAAGAGTCCTATTTAGCTTTTATTATTGGGACAAAAACAGCCTTTTTGGGCCCTCTTGTGCAACAAAATGATCAAATATTGTATTTCCTAGCGTGACAGCAGCATGAAAAAAATTGCGGTTTCTCCTTTTGACATTTAAATGATCAAATTTGAGTTTGTTTTGTGTTAAATTCTAACACAACACCTCTACCTTTTATATTTTTGGCATGAAATTGAAAAGATTTGTATTTACCAGCCAGGAAAATTGATAGAACTGCATTGTGAGGGTACAATTACAACATTTACATAACAGTAAATGTGAAATTGGCAGCTAACCAAAGGAAGAATTACAATTTTGGCCTTTAGCCCCCCGTGCAACTTGTCCAAACCGCTTTGCGGAAACAACAGAAAACACAACAGTGACACAACAAATCCAACACGATGTGAAACGATGACACGGCGACAGCCTTTGTTAGGCAACGAGCAGCACGCCAACTACGCCAGGATGGCACACCGGCACTCTTACAGCAAGCACAACCCGGGACACAACCAGGAAGCGGATGAAGAGATGAGTGGAGGAATGGATGAAATATGTGTTGGCAGGTGATTTTATGCAGTAGCCGTCTTTAAAAGAGGAACAACCATTTATTTTTTAAGTCAAACTGAGACACAGAGAGACGACGGGAGGAACCAAACTCTGGGAATTTTAGCAAAAGCGGGAATACCGAAGCATCACGCTGCCTTTTTTCTGTTTCAGAAGAAAGCCAAGTGATGCATGGTGATAGTCAGTTTCAACATTTCTGATATTTGTATACTTAGGAATAGCCGTTCACATTAGAGTTGGACAAACGTATGGATTTTTGATATACTTGTTCTTCGTTCAATGAGATTAAATATTGATTTTCTTTGGCATGCATTTTACTCCTACTACCAAATCTGCACATTCTTGGTTCCAGCAGATTTAAATGCAGAGTTTGTTTAACGTACAAGTGAATCATTCAAAGTCATCAGAAACCCCATTTGAGTCAACCCCCCCGACAGCTGTGGCTACGTCTCTCTGCACTGACTCACAGGCTTTGCGGTTGTGATGTCGCCGTTGGTTGTGTATGATCAGAGGTGGAGGTGGAGTGGCTGATGGCAGGGTGAATACTCACTGTTAACGCTACCTGCTAGTGCATTAATGTTGTTCAGGCCCACAGTTGCTCCTGCCAGGCCCTGCAGGGTGCCCAGAGAGGTCAGAGAGTTCATGGCGCCAGCGTTGGAGCTGGCTGTGGTGCCCGCTGCTGGGGGAAGAGGAGGAGGAGAAGGAGGAGGAGGAGGATGAACAGAGCAAAAATAAAAAAAGGAGGGATAAGGACAGAGGTGAAGAGGGAGAATAGAAGACAAAAGAAGTGGACATGTTACATAAACATATAGAAAACAAAGCAACAAGGTTCCTTGTGTAGAGGTTCAGGCGTTTGCATAGCTTGATCTTCATTTAAAGCAAACAGTAAGTGCTCCATTGTAGCAAATTAGCATCAGCTTTTGGTGCATTTATCACAGACAGTGATGACAAAGAATTTGGAAAGAGATGTGCTACACAGACCAAAGGGAGCTGGCTCAGATTACTTCCTGTAAGTTCATCTCTTTAATGGCTGCACGCTTCAGTTTCTTGAAACTTGGTGGCAAGCTGAATCACAATAATCGGTCATTACTGAGCCTAAACATTTACTACTTCTAGACATGAACTACATAGAGTAAAAGGTAAAAAAAACAACAAAAAAACAGGCACTGGTTTGGCATCAAGAGACTAAAAATGCTGTCCAGTTCAGGCTTTGTCTCTCCCAAAAAACGTGAAATGGACACGCATGCAGAAGTTGCATTATCAGCAGGTAATGTGTGTGTGTGAGTGAGCGATGAACCAAACTTCTAAAACAAAGCTTTAATTTGAACCCCACTTGAGAGAAAAACGTTTTGCCCCACAATGTGCAACCTGGGGCTGAAGAAGCTGCTGAAATTCTTTAGTCTAACTAAAAAACTACAATAACCTAAAACTAACATTTGGAAATTGGACTTGCCAGGACAGAATGCTTGTTAGACATGTCGGGCTCCTCGTGCTGTAGTGTCTCCTGAAGGGCTCAATTTCCTGCTTTGACAGCATATTAAAACTTGGCTTCAGCTCCTTCACAGTGCGTTCTCTACACTGCAGCTTTTTGCTAGCAGTAGGAACTGACAAGGACGCACCTTCATGTAATGCAAATCAGTGACGAGGAAGGAGCTGTGGCTTGATTGTCCTTCGTTTTTTTCTTCTTCTGTCTTTTAGAGGAATTAATATGACGAACTTATTCATGCAAATGCAGGTTTGCAGATGTTTCTGTGCATATTTTTTTTTCTCAATTTGAGACCGAGACTCCTTTCTTCAACGGGCAAAGAGAAAAAAGCTTTGTGAGCTCGTGGCGACGATGAATGCTGAGAGGCTGATGGAGAAATCACTTCACAATTTGTTTATCTCTCGAGTTCAGCCGGTGTGAATGGAGAAAAGGGAGCATCTCTCTGACAAGAAGCACCACGGTTCAAGGCAGAAAAGATCTTAATAAAACCAATTCTCCTCATAGTTGCACCGTTCCTTTATGAGTGTTTGATCTGATGCTATACTGATGCTTAAACATGCTACAAGTGGCACCTTTAATTAACCTTTACCAAACAAGCAGTGGCACCTTGACCTTAAATATATTAATCTATAGAAGTGTATGGAGATGGTAACAGAATTCTGCATGGTATGTTGTGCACCAAAGCAAGTATACTGCAGGATTGCTGCAATCGAGGTAATGCTGTAAGAGCATTACATAAACATAAGGACAATCCAAAGAAGCACAGATATGCACAGAATGCATATAACAGTCAAACCTCAGAAATGTGGACTATAATTAAATGACTTTTCCCTGGTTTTATTTTAAATCAACTGAAACACACAAAAACAGCCAACGGGCGATGGATGAATAGACCACAGTTGGACGCAAACTCACGCACACATACACCTGAACACGCAGTGATGGCAAATGTGTGGACAAACTGGTGGACAGGTACGATGGGGTGGGTAGGGAAATGTGGTGCACAAAGCCTTCGATCTCATTCTGCTTAAAACAAAAACAATTTCTTAAAAAAGTATTAATTTACCCTTGTTTTCATGAAAGCGACGCCAACAAAGCAGGACTGCGGCTGAACACGTTAAGAAATGTTGCGGTAAAAGGAAGCGTAATGTCAGCACACGGCCTGTCTCCATGCAGAACTGTCTATATTTATCAAAACTGGCGTGACGTTTTCAGTTTCATGCAGTATATGCCGCCACTCATTCACAAAGAGCGGCTCAGCCTGAGTGCGTACTATTCAAGGTTGGACTGACATTCAGAGAGAGAGAAGAAGAAGAAGAAGAAGAAGGAGGGAGACACAGGCGGGAATAAAAGAGAGAAGGTGAAAAGTATGGCGAGAACGAGACGAGAACGGGCGTTCACGCCAAGCGCAGATCAGCTCGGTGAAGGCAGGAAGTGGGATGAAGAGGCGCAAGTGTTAACGAGGGAGGAGACGGGGGGTGGGGTGGGGGGGTGAACGTGTGTGTATGGGAGGAGGGGGGTAGTTTTTCATATTCATGCTCTGTTGGGAGTGCGCACCAAAAGAGACAGCAAAACCACGGCTGCTGGAGCGAGGCCGAGCCGACATGAGAGGGGAGGATGACGGAGCAGAAACAGGGAGCTTGTCAAAAGCGGGGCAGCAGGAAAAGACGAGGGCAACGAGAAGGAACACAAGGAGAGGAGAGGAGAGGAGGAGGGGCAGCGCGAGTGAGAATGATGAGGCACTTTGGGAAGAAGAGGTAGGAGGGGGGAGTCTGAAGGTGATGATATTTAACCTTAGCCGGGTTCAGGAGGTTTTTAAAACCCACAGCTATGAACACAGAAACAACACCAACAAACGCCGTCCGCTGGGAAAGAAAACCAGTCTGCTGCTCTAAAAAGTTTCTACAATGTCTCCAGAGCTGGTGAGGTGAGGCATGAACAAAGAAATCGACCAAAAATAGGACGGAAGAAACACACATAGATCTAAACCTGACGGGAACACTTAAGCACGAAAACGCACATACATGCGCGCGCACCATGGACAGCGCATGTGAATCACAGGATGGCATGGCTGTGGGGCGACATGGTGAGGGCGGTGAGGCAGGCAGGCAGCGGGTGAGTAACACAGCGTGGTGTCTGTCTTGATATGAAGGTGGACACACACACATACACACACCATGGGAATGTGCCAGAAAGAAGGTCAACAACACTGACGGGGATCCAAACAATGAGGATGTTTCGGCAGTAATGGTGTCGGTGATGATGCGGCGGGGATCGTGGGACGACAACAGTGGCAATGGTAACGATGGAGAGCGAAGGACGCAGGCAGGCGTCGGGCCCTCCACCCTCCCCCGGCGCTGGACCCCCCAACCTGAGTGGCTGTGGCGTTGCCTGGGCTGGCCAACGCTCCCAGGGAGGCGGCGTTGGAGGACAGGGGGTTTGCGGTGGAGGGGCTGGCTGAGTTTTGGGCCGCCGCCGCTGCCGCCGCTAAAGTGGCCAGGTTCTGCAACTGCAGAGCACTCATACCTGGAGAGAGGAGCCAGAGAGGGTGGTGTCAAACCTGGGGCTGAGGCGTGGCTGGGTCGCCTGGCTGGACCGGGACAGCGTACCAGAGGACAGCACTGAACACACGTTAGCTGCTGGGCGTCCGGAGGTGTACAGCAGTGGAGTGTGTGGATATCCTGCACATGTAAACCTTGAAATGCTCTTTATTTGAGGTCTTTGTGAAGAATCTGTAGCGTGTGCAGGCAAACACTACAGAAGCTGATTTTGCTAATAAGTCCCCAAAGTGTCTGAATCAGTAAAAAGCAGCTGTTGCAGTGTTTTAGGTTTGGCGCGTTTCTCTGAGGCGGAGCTGCTCCGGAGGAAGAAATCATCTCAGCGATTTAGTTAATGTTATATATTTTTTTATATTCAAGAAGCATTAAAGCTCAGCGGAGAGGGCTCAGACAATGCAGGAGGAAACTAACCTTCCTACAGTGCTTATATGGGCTTTTTAGCCAATTATACCACTTTAGATTCAACAAGAGCTCCGAGTCTGCTCAGCTAACTCATGCTTCTATAAATAAATGTCTGCCAGCTCAACAAAGACCATCACATCTATATCACAGGGTAATGATGGGAGCTTTTATGATATTGTAGTTCAGAGGATGAAACTAAAGGGCATCACACATTGGAACTGGCCTATATCGGCCTTGTTGACTGATGTCAACCTGTACCAGTTTGTTTGATAGTTTGCAGGTATCAAGGTGCAGATGTGGAAAAAGCCCATAAAACTCTTACGTTTATGCAAAAAACAGACCACAAAACTATTTTTGCACCAGCAAATTGCCAAAATGCCATTTAAACGATCAAAATAGGCACTTAATGTGAGAGTCAATGAATCCTTAAAAGCTAAAAGTTCAGTTTTTAAGTAAATTAGTAAACATGACACTGAATTGAGTTAAGGGCCAAAGAAAGACTAAACATATGGGTGTATTCATATCAGCTGGACTCAGAGACTTCAAATATAAAAATCTGGATGAAGTCCCATCATCCTCCTGAGGCTGGAGCTCTTGTTGGGACCTATTTTTAATTTTTCCGAGCTATTTGGGATTAGGTGGACCATCGTCTTTCAAATAATGTTTAAAAAGTACAACCTTGCATGGGGACAGTGGGTTTATGGTACATTATAAATTCATCATTGTCACAAGGTACAAAACACTTCGAATTTATAGAAAAGCATAAATATAATGACCCCGTGTGAGGATGTGTGAGGGTCTCAGGAGGGTTAAGAAGTAGAAAACAAGAGGAGACACGTTGCTTATACTCTTATGCTTGTACTGTCAATGAAAAGAAGCCCCTGCTTTATTTTATATTCACTGTAACTAAGAGTGGGACCAGAATTGAGAAAATTATCATCCTATTTTATTAAATTTGACTTACGGCTCAGTCACAGTAGAGGGAAAAATGAGGACCGCAAACTCACTGCGGCTACGGAAAATCTGGGAATTTGGTGACTGAGTTCAAGCAGTTGTTGGAATCAACTGGTCGCCCAGATGTGCAACATCCTCACCCTCTGGTGGGAGGTAACTGGTCTCCAAATGATCATGGTCTGATTGAACTGACTGCATTCACTTTAAAGGTGTGGAAATAACTGTCATCTAATATAGCCGATCGTCAACATGTTGCAATCAATCTGAGTCAGTCTGTGCAACTTGCCTGCAATATATATATATATTTTGCAGTAGTGGACTCTTAAGGTGAGGTTACTGAGCGCCTACGTCATCGCGCAGTTGAATCACCGTCCTTGAGCAACTACGTCACTATATCTGGAACCATTTCTGTTTCTCCAAGGTTCAGTAGTTAATGTGACTTTCTCTGAATGCAAGTGGCAAGATTGCAATTTTAATTGTCAACTCGACCTAATTCAAAGCAGACAGAGTTCGTCTTGTTTCTGCTTTATCGCCGTCCTGATGCACCAAAGTCGCTTGGAGGATGGCACCTGGCTGCGAGTGCTGCCAAGGCTTGGTCCGCTTCTTTGAAGGCACCATTTCAGAGGCAATAAAACTTCAAGTTCATGACATACTGTCCCAATAATTTTGGTCATGCAACCCCTATTTTCCCTAATGTGACTGTGGCGTTAAAACTACTGATTGAGGCCATAAATTCCAGCGGAAAGTATTTACTGAGATCATAAATCGAATGAGAAGTAAGTTTCCATTAGACTTTACTAGATGAGTCACCCCCTGCTGGCTATTACAAACAATGACCGTTTAGAGTACCTGGACATTATGCAGTCTACGGCTGGCCCCTATGTGATGCCAAATGATTGAAGCCTTCCCCTTTAAACTAAATATTAAAGCCCTCTCCCTTTCAGCAGTCACCCTCTATTTCAGGGACCCCTGAAGGCTGAACTCTCCTCATTGTTAATCTTCTTTCTGGCATTAAGCATACGGCCTGTACTTAAGCATAATTAATGCCTATGTGCCAACGCCTAAATGATGGCGAAGCAGAGGCTATAAAACACTGTCTGTGAGCACAACTCAACCTTTCACCTCACTCCACAAATACGCGCGTGTGTGTGTGTGTGTGTTAGTGCGAGTGTGTGTGAGTACAAAAACCTCCGAAAGCAAACAGTCATCAGAGCAGAAAGTAAAGGTCTTACCACAGAGATGCTTCCTCTGCCTCGTGTTAAAAGGGTGGACACTGTCAATGTGAGGTGTATGCGTCGTATATACAGTTTGCGTGTATATACCGTACCATGAGATTACACGCACACACACACACTCTTGCACACGGATACAAATAAGACACACACGAACAAGACACCATGAAGAAAATCCATCTTGTTTGACACCGTGGTGAATGCTTAGAGGTTCTACAAAGATATCCTTCACCCAGACAGTCAAACTGAACGCAGCCAATGACGACAGATATCGAGGTGCTGCAGCAGGAAGTGTGTGTGTTGTGTGTGTGTAAACAAAGCTAAAGACACCAAGCGCGCGAGTGTGGCTCTGCACGCATGTGAGTTTTTCCCCCACTCATCTGCGCTTACTTACACCGAAGCCAAAACCAATCTCGTTTGCAAAGCGATTTTCTCCAATTTTCCGTCGTACATCACAACCCGAAATGGATTTCTACTTCTGCGCAAAGGTGGGGATAAAAACCGCCGCCGCTCTTTCTATCGTATCCCATGAAACGCACGCTCCAGCCTAATTCAAACAGTGTTGTTTTTCCAGATAAGGCAGACAATGCGCCACATGAGCGAGGAGATATGTGGTTTCAGCGCTGCTGCTAGATCTCATTTCTGACTCCACGGAGCAGGTAACACAGAGGGAAGGCTGTTTACAAGAGCTCTCATTCATACCTCTTTATTATAATCGAAAGTATGTTTTTATTTTGCAGACCTCCTGCTTCTCTATGTGTGAGGCAGAGATCCACAAACACGCTCGAGTGTGTTTACAATGCTAATAAATGGTCATTGTAGAGAATCACTTCACTTTTACCTTCACTGCGCTTCCCCCACCTTCGTTTGTTTCCTCCTTTCCTTTCCACTTTTTTCTTTCCTCATCTTTCCATCATTGTCATTTTCCTTTTTCTGCCCTTGATTTACTTTCTTCTTCTCTACTTTGGTTCTTATGTATGTTTCTGCTTCTTTAACTTTCATTTTCTTATTCTTTCGTATCCTCATCTTTTCCACAGTTTTTCCTTTTATTCCCTCTTCTTTTCCTCCCTTTCATTTCCTACTTTCCTTGCTTTTTAATTTCCTCCCTATTCTTGCTTTACATTTTCCTTTCCCTTCTCTGCTTCATTGCTCTCCCTTCTTTCCTATATCCTGACCCCTTCATCTATCTTTCCCTACTTGCCCATTTCTTATCTTCCTTTTCCCTACTTCCCAATTTTCGTACTGGCCTTTTCCTCCCTCGTCTACATTTTTAGCTTTTCAGTACCTCATTTCCCACCAACCCTTTTCCTGGTCCATTTTTCCAGCCTTTCTTTTCTCTCCCTCAGTCGATGACAAAGACAATTCCAGCAGCTCCCTTTTGTCTCTATCTTTTGCACTCATTGCAACCTCTTTTCTGCCTTTTTTCTTCTTTTCTACACCCATTCTTACTTGCATTTGTCGAAGACAGTCACCCTCATTGAACCAGCATTTATTTTCAAGCCAGTTATGAGAGAAAAGGAGCAGGCCAAGAGATAAAAAATAACTGGGCTAGAGAGGAATAAAGCGGAGACAAAGAAAGAGAGATCGTATGAGACAAATTCATTCTATTTTCCACATTGGGGCCGGGGTTTCAGGGCCGGCCAGATGGTTCGCGAGTGTGTGAGTACATATGTGTGCAGGGATGCACGTGTGTGCGTGTGCGCTCCCTGCAGCTTGTATGGCAGCGCCGGCCTGCACCAGGCTGCCGTTGGCTGCATCTAATTGAATGCTCATTGGTGTAATTGAAGCCTCTCAGCTCTGCAGCTCCTCGTGTTAAAGACTGGGACCAGATGTCATTCAGCTGTCTCACATCTCCTGCCAATCACTAATACTCGCTCCCTCTCCCTTCTCGCGCTCCGCATCGCAGATGGAGGACCAACAGATCTCCAGATTCAGACACCGTTACTCACTCGCCGCTCCAAATCCTAAAGCCTGTTTGTCAGCGTGAGTGTATATTCGAAAGGAAAATGTATGTTTGAGCCCAACGGCAGAAAATTTTAAACAGCTGCGGGGAAACTGCGAGGCACTGCAACTCAGGGGAACGTGACAGAACACGAGAAGAGACAAGACGGGGCTCGCCACTTTAAAAAAGTCTTATCACGCTCGGATCCTTTGGCAGTTTCTTTATGCGCGCTAAACAACATACAATTAAAAGCTGACACCTCGCGAAGAAAGCGAACCAAAGGAGGGCAGAACAGTCGGAGTGCGAAGGCTGGAGGGAGGCGTAAAGGGGAGATGAAGAAACTGTGAGTGAGGAGGGTGGGAGGTGGGGGAGAATCTGCAAAAAGGAGGCTTAAAATAAAAAAGCAAGAAAGAGGAGACGAGTTTAATGGAAAGAGAGAAGAAAGTTGAGATGATGAGTATCCACGAGTGCCTGAAAGTCTTAAATAACCCAAATTTTAAAGCCCTAAAAATTATATTTCTTAAATACAGAGATTTTATCTTGTTCAACATTTAATAGCAGAGCTTCTTGGCGAGCTCAAGGCTTAGATTAATACAGAACTGGGTTAATACAATATGCATTTTTTATTGCTGCAGCTTCACTTAGGAGAATTACTGTCCCATACCGCTTCATTTCCTGTCTTCACGTGTTGGAAAACCTTCACTGGCTGTTATTTGACTGCGCTTTGTCTATTGAAGGATTATGCAGATTAGTGCATATTTAATGAGATAATGCCTCATGTGCATGTAACTGTCCAAATGTAAGTCAGCACCTGGGGAAGTTTCCCGATAATGAAAATTTCTCCCTGTAAATACTAAAAATAATAACACTAAAATATTAAAAATTATAGTTTTACATACTTTAAGCCTAACATCTACCTAACATCTCTGATTTTTAGAGCATCCAATAAAATCAAAATGTTTGATTATTTCTAGCAGATTTCCAGGTTTTATCTGAAGTTCGGTTTTCTGGTCTGGAGAAATTCGCGCATATTTAGGTAGATAATTGCCTAATTTGCAGATTTAAACATAAAATTTCAGAATGCTTGCAACATGGAAAATATTTGTGTTAATGTAAGGAAGCTATTGAGGAAGTTTAATTATGCTATGCTGCTTATAGGTCATTCAGGGCCTCATTTATAGAGCATTTTACTCAAAAACATGCCAAAAATGTACTTTTTTCTGTCTGCTGGGAGTAAAAGACATTTGCCGTTCAAGGTATTTCCACTTCATGCACTGTTCAAATTTCTGTTTTGAGGAAAAAAAATGCAAACAGGCACATATTTATATGGGTAAATGCCTGATTTGCATAAAAACATAAACATACAAATGTCAGACCGGTTGCAACATGGAAAATATTTGTGTTAATGTAAGTTAATAATATAGGTTTACATTTCTCCCCATAAATACTAGGATCCAACATTCACAGCCAAGTATTACTGAGGTTTTATTGCTAAGAATCATTAAAAAGATTGACCTTCTCTGACTGAGTGTTTTTTGTTTTATGAAGTGCTAAAAAAATTTTTTGACAGAATCACTTCTGTTAAAATATTTGACTTTCGGTGAACTATTCAATATTTGAATTGCTATTCAAGAAAAGTATGCAAGTCAGCACATATTTAGGCATGTAATATTTAATTTATAGATTTAAAAATAATTTTTCAGTAAAGTTCAGACGCAGAAATAATTGTCTACATGTAAGTAACCAGCTGTGAAACTTTCATGGTGATACAGGCTTGTAAAAATCCTCTAGGTCGCCAATAATTTGTAAGATATATCATGCAAATTTACATTAAATCCACTAGCACTTACATCAATGAAACTTTCTGATTATATGCTGCATATTTTTATGGAAATTCTTACTCAAATGTGATTCGGAGCCTTATTTATACAAGATTTTATTCCCAAAATGTATTTTTTTTTTGCTGCTGGGAGAAAAAAAAAGCCTTTGGACAGTAACTAAATTAAAGAGTACATTTTTAACCTGGCTTTATCTAGTCTTTAAATTTCTGTTCTGGAAAAGTATGTAAGCTGGCACATATTTAGATAATGAATCATTTTCATATTTAAACCAGAAAATGTGTAATACATAAAATATTTTTCCAAAACGAAGCCAAGTTTTGCAGCGACATCTACTAGGTAAAAAATTTCAGCCTGCTCCCTTGTAGTGTCTTGCCTAAGCTCAATTCCTTTAGAGTGAACAAAAGGCTTAACTTTGCTTTGAACCTGCAGATACTCATGAAAGAAAGTATGGAAGTGAAGATGATAGATCAGAGGCCCTCCACAGGAAGAGAGCAGTAGATGGCGCCAGCCTGCAGTGCAACAAATCCACCAAAGGTGCCCACTTTTAACCATTTTCTGTGCTCCTTTTTCTTTCTCTTTCCTCCGTTCTGTGATTCATCCATCCCCGACAAAGCCTCAGTGCTACTGTTACACGCCCAGGGCACAACTCTTGTCTGGCCTCATTAAAAGATCAAGACAAATCTTAGCAACAGTTAATAAATCTTCAGGGCAAAGATCTCTCTTAACTCCACCACGCGAGTTCATCTGTTATGCTCTTTGGTCCTGTTTTAGAAGTCTGTGGAAAAAAAAACAGAGAGGCGCAACAAAGAGTCCACTGCCGTGGTAGATCTGTGAGTCTATCGACTGATTTTTGACTCACCGGCCATCTGCTGGATCCCGCTGAAGGCTCCTAGGTTACCAGAGGAGGCTGCTTGCTGAAGCAACTGGAGAAAGAAAGAGAGGCGAGGGGGAGAAGGGAAAAGAGGAGAAGAAAGTGAGCCAGTGGATACCGACAGCTGAATACATGTCTATACTATGCAACAGTGAGAACTAAACTTGTAATGAGCGGTTTAGCAGTGTGGTTTTTGCATCAGTGCTCGATGAGTAAATGAGCTGCTAATATAGTTTGATCTCTCCTCTAAGCAAACACTGTTTGTGTTCCACCGTGATTCTCTCAGACAAGTTGAGCATGAAAGCTCTAATCTAGCCGACTAATTAGATTCCAAAACAAAAGTGGAATACTGATGCTGTCAAAAACTCATCCTTCAAAGACTTGAATTAACAGCAAATTAACATCTTGTTTCTATTGTGTGATATTTTCTTTTCCTTCCCAGAATAGAGCTTAATCTTTTGAAAGGACTGAGAAAAGGGGATTGAAAGCGCAGAAAAATCTGGGAACTCAATTCGCAAAACAATTTTTTATCTCAACGCCCCACCTTTAGCTCCAAATAAATCGATATACAGTAAGGGAGAGATGTTTGTCTGAGCTCTGTTTTACCCTCGCTCAAAGGAGAGGTGCAAATTGCAGCTAGGATCAAACAAAATGGGAATCAAATCCCCGACATTTAAGAAGTGTATTTTAACGGTGGTTTAGGTTGTTAAATTAGAAACTAAAGAGCAACGAGTCAAGGGTTAGCTCCCCAAAGCTATTGAGGAAGGAGAAGAGGAGAAAGGGGTCTCTGAACCCTAGTATAAAATGAGAAACTTCCCAATCAAAAAATCAAAAGCGTCTAAACAATTTTAGACGCTGAGCAGCTGAGCTTCTGCTGCAGCAGTTTTTAAATTGGACATCAGACGATTCCAGTACGCTCCACGCCAACCTCCAGTTTTATTTTTACACCCGTTTAAATCCACAAAATTTAGACATTATAAATTTTCAAAGAGGACATCAGGCAAGCGCCTCTGTATCCATGAAATTATCTACTAACCATTTTTGATTCATACTTTTTGGAGTTAAAAGTAATGACTACTATTTTTGAAAATAGAAAACGGATAATTATTATCATTAGCAGAAAACCTCTAATTTATAGTTTATGCTAACAAATTTTGCAGAACAAGATCCACAAAAAGTTGCAAAAATCTGTTCAGGATTATCTCCAACACTCCATTCATTCACTTTTTGGTTTATCTTCTGGAAAATCCCATAATTTGCGTCACCCTCAACTTTATTTTGAATCATTTTAATACATACGCGTTACCCAACTTGCCAGATTATCTACAGACATGATCTACACGCTGGATATAGCTTCAACACATCTGTCGGCAAATAATGTGTTCGTTAGTCTTCACACCCTAGTAACATACTTTTCCACATAATACTGTAATATGTTTCGATATCAGCGGCACAGAGATGTCATGCATTTACATAAAAGAGCGAGAGAAAGGTGTCAGCCTCTGATGATGATTTAGCATTTAAAAAGGAGCTACAATAGGACAGACCTCAAAGCACAATACTTTGTAAAATATCAAAGAAAACTGTTCCCACTAAAGGTGGAAACAATAGTTCTTCTTTGCTACCTAAAGCAAAAACACACTGTAAAGTACAAACAGGGTATGACGGCACAAGAGGAAGAGATGCTAGCAGCTACAAAGATAACCAAGCATGTCCGGAGTGTTCGCTAGTTGCTTTCCGTATGACAGGAAGAGCAAACGCCGGATGGAATTACTGATACGGTTACATAGTTGTAAAAGAACAGCTCAAGGACAGGTGGAAAATATTTTTCAGTTTTCAAGTAATAATCTGGCACATGTGAAGCTTTTAAAGATTTGTTGGTTAGGTAGTCACGTTATACATTTACGCAGCATTTCCAGGGCATACGTTAGCTAGGCTATTTTTGTGCTTATAGTTGATGTATGCCACTTCACTGGAATAGTAAGTTTGATTCTTGATTCTTCAGATCAGACAGTGTGTGATCAGTCAACCGCTAGAATGTTATGTTATACAGTGGATAGCATAATCATAAATATTAGCGCACATTTGCCTAAAATTGCTTAATATAGTTTTGAGGCTACATTGCTATTGCATTTAATTTGTAATTTTTTAGTTAACTAAAAAATAAAATACATCAATAAAGGATGTAAAAATTATTTACCATTAAGAAATAGTGAAATGCTAATTATTATTATTACTTTACTAGCTGGTTAATTATTAATTTGTAGATTACTACATTAATGGCTAAGGTAAGTAAGCTAAGGACATTATTTAGATGGCTATTTTGAAGCCCTGATGCTAGCAGTTGTTTACTTTTGCTTCGTCTAGCTCAGGGGTCAGCAACCTGCAGCTCTTTAGTCCTTTTAGTGCGGCTCCATGTGGTTTGGGAAAATACTTTTTTTTTTTAAGTAATTAGCTGATTTTATTTTTTATTTATGTTAGTTCTTTTTTAACTTGTTGTTCTAAATTGGAAGATTATTGTGATATTGAAATATAAATATAAAATTATATTCTATTATTTTTTGATCGCTCAAAATAAGCGTCACACTTGTGGAAGCCGATATACCCGCCAAAACGCCGTGCATTTATCGAGACTTTCAACCCCAGGTAAGACAATTCTGGATCTTCGGATCCACATTATGTCAGCAGCTCCACCGTGAACTATGTTAAAAACAAACACCGCTCACAGATGACAGCTTACAGTCCTGCGTAAAGATGAAAGTGACTTCGTACAGCCCCGATTTGCAGACGCTGTGCGCAGAGGTTCAGGAGCAGAAGTCCCATTGTAAACATACCACGGCAGACCCGACGATGTTTCCATGAACACGCTTTTGAACATCTCTTTATTGACCACTTTTCACACACGGTTGCTGTACGCATGCAGCCGGTGTTAAAGCGCACAGCCCGACATATACCAACACAACAGCACAGACGTTAAGGCGGCGAGGCGCGATTGCCGCTCAGGTGCGTCCGCCTCCCCTGCAGCGGCGCTGGAGACCACGCCCCGCCACACACATTAACCAGGTAAAATACATATTTAGGCAGAATATTGCAAATATCTATTTTTTTTTAATATATTTTAGCAACATAGTGCTTTTTCTTATTTTCTTTATTTTTTAAAAGTCAGGTCAAGGCTCCAAAAGCCCAAAGGTGATATAAGGGTGGCGGCTCACAACAGCTTTTGTTTGCTACATGGATCATTTTAGTTCAGCTGGGTGTCTTTCCTTTTGTCATATTTCTTTAAGAGTTCAAAATGTGTTAATTACATAAATCAAATGTAATTTTCTCTGTAGCACTTCATGGATTTAAGCAACACACCTTAGTTGTTCACACAAAGCATAAAAGTAAAAAACTATATATACAGTGTTATCTTCATTTTAGATGTCAAAAAGTATTTGCGGCTCCCAGTGTTTTCTTTTGCGTGGAAATCGCGTCCAAATGGCTCTTTGGGTGTGAGAGGTTGCTGACCCCTGGTCTAGCTGTTCACTTAGGATTGTGAAAATATTGCGGTTTGATGAGTGCGTCACACGAGTATCACCTTTAAATTAAATGTAATATTTGATGACCTGAGGACCAGAACGGGCTCATAAATGAAATCTTCAGGATAAAATGTCACTTTTCAGCCGTAACCTACACAAACAATAAACTGATCATAAAACAGTTGTTTTAGAATCCCTTGACTTAGTTATACATGAATTAAATAATATTCCTGATGAAATATAATTATGATTTCAATAATTATGTTTCTATTATTTGTCAAAAATTCAACAACTAAATTGTTTTAAACTATTGATTTTTCTACCATCTGGCTTTCCACTTCCAATTTAATACTGAATGCAGATCTGTGAACACCATCGCAATGAGAACTTCAGAAATGAAGAATCCCTGCATTTTTATCTGGCGTGAACATTTTTCAGATATCGAACATGAAAGATCATCTTCTGGCAACCTTAATTCAGAGACCCCATTTCCTCACTGCGCAACATTCCCAAGAGTAAGATAAAGGAGAGGAACAATGGCAGCTCTAAAAAAGGAATTACAGAACAAAAGGAAGAAGTGAAGAAGGAGAAGACGGCAGGCCTATGTTGGATAGATTTTTTTGAGTTAGATTGTTCTTGTTTGGGGGCACTGACTGCTGCTGTGTTGGCCACGGGGCTGCAGTAAGGGGTTGTGGAGGAGGTGATGGAGGTGGGCGACTCGGCGGCGCTCCTTACAGCCAGATACTGCGGGGTGAGGCCGCCCAGGCCCGTCAGGCTCCCCCAGGTGGTCGCACTGTTGAGCTGCTGCATCTGCTGCGCCAGCTGCTGCTGCAGACGCCGCTGCTCCTTGTCCTTCTGTGTGTCGGCGAACTTCACCACGATGGGAGATGAGCAGCCCTGCGGAGATGGGAGGATGAGGAGGAGCGTAAAGAAGGGGAGGGAAAGAGAGGAAGAAAGGGAAAACGAGAAGGATGAAGAAAGGGAGAAGGGAAGAAGAGAGTGAGGAAGTGAGATAAAAAATAAAGAAGTGATAGAAGATGAAAGGGAAGTATAGAAAGGCCACAAGCCCCCAAAGATGAGAGGAAAGGAGACAAAAAAGAACATGAAAGGATGGAAGGAAATGAGAGAGGAGCCAAGATGAGAGAGAAGGGAGGAAGAGAAAAACAGAAATGGAGAAGCGAGGAAAGAGGAGAGGAGAGGAGTTCAGGCAGGAGAGGAAATGGGAGAAGAAAGAGAAAAGGAGTCAAAGGATTGTTCAGGTACTTTGTTGCTTGCAAACACACCTGTAATAATTGTTGTACTGAGTGAACACAATATGGGCAATAAGCCACATGTCTACAGTGATGATACACACCTGAAATCATCCACAAACATCTTTGTATTAACAAACTTAACTTCAGCAAAGAAAGAAAATATTCTCAATTAAAAAGTCCTCTCTTGCGCACACACACACACACACTCACACACTCACTCAGGGACACAGGACACGCACACACAGTCACACAGGAAACTTGAGTCTAAAGCCGGTGGGCTTTCTTCTTTCCCCCAAAAGGGCTCAGTTATCTCTGAGTCCAAAACGGTATCACCAGAAACAGATTTCCCGAGTTCTCCAACTATTTCATCATCTCATATGAAGAGAGACTTGATCTGTGTGTGTCTGTGTGTGAGTGTGTTAATATGTGTGAAAGAGGGGGGGAAAGACCTAGAGAGAGAGAGAGAGAGAGTGATTTGGGCGACTACGAAGAGAGGTTGAGAGGGCAAGAGAAAGATTTAGAGATTTTAACGGTCACTAGAACGGCATCTAATTGTTCGAATTCTTACGCCTCAGAGCAGCGGCAGTGTGTGTATGTGTGTGTGTAAGAGAGATGATTGTGTACGCACACTGAAGCTGGGTAACAAATCAGACGTCCAACACGCTTGCTAACAACTATGACACGAAGGAGACAAAAACCCACAACGCTCCTGATGAAAGCTGCGGTGCCGGCTGAAACGAAGCTGAGACGGCAAGTCATAATCTATCACACCACACCATTACTCACACAACGCAATCAAAGCCTAACTAGGGGCAAATCCGTTCAAAAACAAAGGCAATCTGCCACAGGAGGATAAAAACCTTTTGATTGAAACATTTAGTTTGAGGCTCGATTCCGCACTCGGCGGGGGAGAGAAGGGATTTGCCTACTTTGCAGATAGCGCTGTACACGTTTTGGAGCGGAGATGTGCTGTATGACGGTTGTGTGTGCCGGTGCAGGTATTTTGTGCAAGAGTGAAAGCGAGCGAGCGTTTGCACTTCCTTCCTTCACTGTGGATCAGAGCGTGTACTGTGAAACTAGCTTTTAGCATTCCCACTTCAGTCAGGACCACTTTGGTAAAAATAACACCGTGATTTCCATTTGCATTTATTTAGATTTGGCAGTACCGGGTGTTCCAAAGTAATGAGTTTGTCGGACAAACCGGCCTTTTCATGCGTGTTTGCTGAACAGGTGTCTGAGATCATTTAGTGCGGGGCACAGGAAGAACGATCCCCAACATTTAGGGAGTGAAAATATGCACTTTACTTTAAATTTACTGAGTTTAGGGACAAGAATGCGACAGTAACATATAATCTGTACCCTTTCTGGACACAATTTTGCGTTCCTGAAAAGAAAACCTGTCAGCCTCTGATGCTAACACGATGCTAGGAGTGAGATGCTAAAAACTGAGGGCATGCCAACCCCAAACAAGCAGCCCAAACTTGATTTTTAGGCCTCACCATTTTTGTGTTGATACTCATACATTTGGGCCATTTATCCCTTTGAGTCAACTTTCTTCTGATTGGCTGCCCTCTTACAAACAGATGGTCTAAACAGGAAGTGGAAAGTGCTTCTGTGCGCACAGCCAGAGCTGCATGCCTGAGATGTCCAAATAAGGGATATCCTCTCTGTGACATCATAGAGATCCAAGAGTAGAAAAAAAACTGTGAGAAGCCTGAGCTTTTGTCTCACAGGGAGTATTTGTACATACACTGATGTCACTATTTAAAGCTATGGCCATGTTTAATATGAGAATCCACCACTGTAATTACACGCAAGGCCTAAAAATTCATTGTTTTTTTTTCCTAAATATCCTCCAAAATAATCAATTAATAATCATTAACACCTTTACAAGCGTATGCCTACACTTTGACAGTATGACTGTCAAAAATAAAGAGTCTAGCCTAAAACTTTAATGGGAAATTAAATGAATTGCAAAGCCGAATTAATCTCTTACCAACATCACATCATCACAACTGATGGCTGTTGGCTTTTGCACCAAATATTATGCCTTTAATCTCGGTGTAAATTGAGACACAGCATGAAATCATTTTGATATGACTTTAATAGGTTCAGCAGCTTCATTCTTATAACAAACACATCGAAGAATACAGATGCATGCTTTTTTTTTAAAGCTCTGTGTTTTCTCTTACTGTGAAATGCGACAATCTGACCAATGACAGAATACACATCACATCCTGAGCAACATTAAAAACTAGAGTTTCTGTGTAATTTAAAAGCAGACCTTCTTTGTCAGATAGAACATCCAGTGTATCTGCTTCCTTGTATGTGTATGTGTCTGTTTCCGTGTGTTACTGCCCCTCTTCTGTAGGCCGGGGCCTGACTTATCAGCTGAATGAGCTCGTCTCCTGTCTGTCGGCGGCTCGGCCATATTTACTCTGTCTCTCCACTGGTCATTTTGCCTCTTCATTCTGACCGCCGACAGATAAAGTAGAGGAGACGACGGGAGAATTGTATTGGGAGGGCGAGGGTTAGTCGGGGCCTCGCCGTTGGAGTCGATTCCCCCTGAGAACCGAGCTCCCTATCCCGCTCTGCTAAATATCTCATCACTCCAGTTGACACCTTGTGAGTGAGGGGAAATGCAGCCCGGAATGAGAGTCCTGCTCTGGGAGGAAGGCTGAGGGCCACAGGCATCTACGCCTGACGCTGCCGGTTATCCCCGAAAGGCCGGCTGTTGCACTTTGAAGCTGTTTTTCAGGTGATTGCCTCGTTGGTTACCTTCGCCCCTAAATGCTGAGGATACATGGAGAGAAAGTGGCAGCTCATGCCATCTATTAGTTTTGCTCAAAGAAACAAACTATCCTGCTTTTACCTTAAGGGGATTTTTAAAAAATTCATCACAGATTAGCAGCAGCTCGAACTTTCATATAAAAACACTCTCTGACTAAAGAGCTAATCAACCTTGATTGAGATGAACAAGCATCTAGAAAGCCATGTATATCAGAAGCTGTTTTGACAGATGAACTCCAGGCAGTGTCAGGAGGATTACGTTGGGACTTTGTCCAGCTGGTCCTTGTGAACTACATGCTCAGATGGGGTCTCACTTCTGGAAGTACTCTGGCTTCAGCGATGGAGCTGCATGGATAGAGAGTGCAACAGGCAGAACATTGGACCTCGTGCTCCCTGCTCATGCCCCGTGAATTCAATTGACTATTACCTTTTCTTCTATAACACAGACTGTTACTTCACTAGAAAGGCAGGAACATTTAATATCTGATATGCCGGATATTCTTTTTCTGCTCATTTTAGAGGTCACCATCTGCCTCCATCTCACCCTGCTCCTACAATCCCTTCTGTCACACCAACCCTTTCTATGTCCTCATTCACAACATCCACCTTCTCTGCGGTCTTCCTCTTTTCCTCCTGCCTGGCAGCTCCATCTTCAACAACCAGTACATCCACCATCCCTCCTCTCAACCTGAGATATCCCTCTGATGATGTCCACATTTCCAATCCTGTCCATCTTGGTTACTCCCAATGTAAATATTAGCATCTCCAGCTCAGCCTCCTGTCTTTTTGTGAGCTCCACCATCTTCAAAACACACATCATAGCAAGTCGACCCTCTTGTAAATCTTCCTTTTCACGCCCCTGTCACTCATTTCTACCTACTTCATCCAGCCTGGACCTCTTGCACTGTCCATTACTTTGGAAGATTGACAACCCGTCTCCCTCTCATTCACACACAAATTTTGTCTTGCTTCAGCTGACTTTTCTCTCTTGGACATCTCCATGTTTACACAGGTATCTCATCAGGACCACCTAGCTTTCCACTCTTCATCCTCTTCATAGCTACCCTAATTTCCACCATATTAATCCTCTGCTCCTCTACTTTCATCCATCCATCCATCTCTAACATCCTTTCCAGTTTGGTCTCTCTGTGTGATACATTTCTCTGCCAGATAACGAAGTTAAAAGCTCAGGACTAAAAATGCAGATTATCAATCTCCACTGATGACTGTCTGGAAATTGTTCTGCAGCAGCCAGCTTTTGAATTACATACATGGACTACATATCTAAAGTTTAAACTTTGCATGGTGTGATTATAAGTCTATTATAAATATATTTTTAAACAGAAGCCATGGCAATTTGGGCAATTATGACTAACTTTCACTGTTTCTGGGCAGCTAGAGGTATATGATTCAACTTCATCTTAAAATAAAAACAGGACATAAAGGTGAGAGTCTGGAGAAAAGTGGGCGAAACTGCAGGTTTTGAAAATACGTCATAGCTTTTGGGATAAATCCACAATTCCAGTGTCGAACTGTTTGCGCAGAGGTTTGTGTGAAGTGTCATTTTTTTATATTCAACATCCAAAAATTACTATTAAAAGCACTGGATACATTTAATTTTTCATATAGCATAGTTGATGCTGTGGCACGATGGGGATATTTTCAGATGCTTCCATAAATTTAAACAAGTAGTTGACGTGCTTGGATTCCCAAAGAATTTGGACTTGTAACTTGTGTATGTAACTAAAAATAAAAATACTCACACATTGTGTATTTTACAGTTTTGGTAATTAACCTGTGAAGAAAAAAATAACTTTCCAAACCCTCGCTAACTAAATATGGCAAGTATAAAAG